CTAACAGATACTAACATAATTAGACTAACCAAGTTTCTACTATAAAAAAAAAAAAAAAATTGGATACAACTCAACTTTTTGCGGTGAGTATTGAGGACTGAGGACTAAAACCAACTTTTTAACCCATTATTTTATAAAATTGATAGGTTCTAATATCTAATTTTATAATATGACACTTTTATTTTTTTACCTTACAAAGTTAATAAGTTTAACCCCTCATCTTACAAAATTGATAGGTTTTAACCCCTCACCTTATATTATGACGCTTTTAACCCTTTATCTATATGAATTGAAGAAAATAACTCTCATTTAACATCATGTTATAATGTTATGTTAGTTCTGTTAATTGACTGTCAATTCTGTTAGCTAACTATTAGTTCTGTTAGTTCTGTTAGTTCTGTTAGCTGACTATTAGCATCCGTTAGCATTCCGTTAATGGAACTAACAAATAAAATTGAATTTAAATTTCATGTTTTCTATAACGAAATGCTAACAGATGTTAACAGTCAGTTAACAAAACCAACAAAATGTTATAACCTAATATTAAGTGAGAGTTATTTTCTTCAATTTGTATAGATGATGGGTTAAAAATGTCATAATATAAGATAATGAGTTAAAACCTACCAATTTTATAAGGTGAGGGACTAAAACCTACCAAATTTATAAATAAAGAGTTAAAAATATCATATTATAAGATGAATGGCTTTATAAAGTAAGGAGCTAAAATGTTAGTTTTACCAATATTGAGCACCATCTTGAATTTGATTAATATTTGAATTTCTTTTTAGTCAAACTTAACCCTTTTTTTTTACATTGTTTACATGATAAAAAGTAATTTCCTTTCATTTATTATCTTATCTTACTTATATATCATGTGGTTTAATTTTAATATCTTTTATTTTTAATAAAATGAAATTACTTATTTTTTTATTTTGATTACATAATGAGAGATTTTATTTTGATTGTATAATGAAAAACAATCATTTTTCATCTCTTGCCTCATCTCATTCCATTTAACTCACATGTTATACAATTTAAATTCAAAATCTCTCATTTTTAATGAAAAACAATAACCACCTAGTGATTTAAGTGATCTAAATGATAAAAGATTACCTAACTTAAGTTCAAATTAAAAGTAACTCAACTCATTCAGAGTTCGTATTTTTCACTGTCAAACTGTTAGAAGGCTGCGGGCTCATAAAAAAAAAAAGAAAAAGGATCGTGATAGCATGCTATCGAAGTCCACTTCTAGACTCCGCAGCCATTGGTGGCTCTATCGGCTCGTCACCGTTTGTGTTTCAGACTGATAAACCCTTCTACAACCTCCTTAAACCCTAGATCAACATGTCTCCGCCGTTCGCCGCCTCAAAATCCGAATGAAGCGAGCGTTCAGATTAGCAGAGGCAGCCCAAACGGTGCTGCCATGTCTGCACGGGTACTGCTCAACCTCCCAATCCCAAACCCCCTTTTCTTTTGTCCTCACCAAATCCACTTTTAACAGATGTTTCAGGGACATCTCTGGCCAGACCCCTCACTCTCCGCTGCCTGCCAGCGTTCCCGGCAGCATCATCGACTTGTTCATTGACAAGCTATCTAACCCGGAGCCTTTGCCGAGGGAGGGTTTGGATCTCCGGGTGTCTAAGTTGAGAGACGAGTTAGTGCAGTATGTTGATCGTTTTGACGAAGCAACTAGGGTTTTGGAGGAGAAAGCTGATTCCTTGATTAAGATTTCTGCTGATGGGAGAGCTTTTGTTGAGCTATTGAAGCAGCTGTCTTCTTCTCCTCACTTTGCCCTCGAGGTTCGTCCTCTCTTCTTTTGTTGATATGTTGATCCTGAATGCTGCGTGTGCATTTTTTTGTTGTTGTGTTTAATTTGATATGAAATTTATCATTGTTGTCGCTTGATTTCTCATTATTTGATTAAAGGGTTATTGTTATGGCAATTTATGAGTTGTTGGACGTCTGTTGTAGACATTGGATGGATTCATTCTCTATTGTAGAGGAATGTAACTGAATTTATTTCGTGCCCGGATAAAAATTGAATGTAGTATTTCCTCCTAAACTTATGAATTGGGATGTCATGGATGGGAACCATTTGAAATGTAAATGTACCAATACTTGGTCTGGGATTTTGTGGAGCGGAATATTGAAACAAAAAGTTTAGTCATCATTTATATATGACATCGTAGCCTTAGTTGCCTCTTCTATTCCATGTTAGTGATGATTCTGATATATTACATGATTTTCCGGGTCTTGTGTCTACACTTTTAACAGTGGTATAGATCTGTATCAGTTATTGGAAATGAGAAGGCTTTTTTTTTTTTTTTTCAATAGGAGTTCTCCAAAGTTTTCCTCCTACAATCATGCTTCTTGATAAATAGGCTAAATTTCTTGTCTTAGGTTTTTAAATGGAGGAGAAATCACTCAGAGCATGGCAATCCTATGACTTCAGAAGAATATACTCAGGGGATAACACTAGCTGGTAGGCTAAAACGTGTAGATCTTGCATGTAATATCTTTGATGAGGCTGCTGGGAAGAAGGTGAAGGCAACATCCATTTATAATGCGCTGATGAGTGCATATATGTACAATGGTCTTGCAGAGAAATGTCAATTATTGTTTAGGGACTTGAAAACGGATACAGATTGTGCCCCTTCACTTACAACATACAACATTCTTATATCGTTATTTGGTCGCTTATTGCTGGTAGATCACATGGAGGCAGCATTTCAGGAGATAAAGCATTTAAATCTCTCCCCAAATACAACTACCTATAATAATTTAATTGCTGGATATCTGACTGCTTGGATGTGGACTAGGATGGAAAGCACTTTTCAAATGATGAAGGTGGGATTAGTTAAGCCAGATTTCAACACTCACTTGCTAATGCTCCGAGGGTATGCACATTCAGGGAAACTGGATAAGATGGAAGAGACATACGAATTGATTAAAGATTATTTAAATGAAAAGAAAATCCCTTCAATTTTAACCATGATATGTGCATATTCTAAGAGCCATGCCAACGATCGAGTCAAAAAGATTGAGGCTCTAATGAAGTTTATTCCAGAAAATCAGTATTGGCCTTGGTTGAATGTGCTGTTGATCCAGGTTTACGCTCAAGAGAATTCTTTAGAGCATATGGAGAGCTTGATTAATTTGGCATTTGAGCATCAAACCATTGTGCTTTCATCTAGGATAATGCGTTGCATCATTGCAACTTATTTCCAATGCAATGCAGTTGATAGGTTAGCCATATTCGTGAAGCGTGCAGAATGCGCTGGATGGAAAATGTGCAGGTCTTTATATCACTGCAAAATGGTTTTGTATGGATTAGAGAAGCGATTGGAAGAAATGGAGAGTGTCCTTAATGAGATGGATAATATCCAAATGAACTGGACTAAGAAGACATTCTGGATATTGTACAAGTCATACTCAACATGGGGTCCTAGATACAAGGTTGAGCAAGTTGTAGGGTTGATGTGCAAACACGGGTATGAAATTCCTTTGGAGGCATCTTCATCATGACACACCTTTCACTAAGCATTATTCAGCCAGAAATTGCCAGGAACATTTAGTCGATCTACAATGAATGGTTCATCACGTTTCTGATATGGAATTGAGACCAAAACGATTCATAGGTACACATCTTCTCTCAGCTCTTCATCAATTTTACAGTATTAGTTGTTTCAAGCTCGAGTCTTCTTTTAATTTCCTCCCCTTATTATTGTAGCTGTTGAAAAATATGTTGAAAATCTTAGTTATCTTATAAACCTTTTCTCAGGCTCAGCACTGCTGGTAGAGAAACTATTCTAAGGGTTCTAAGTTTAAACGTATGCAATTAATAGGGAACTTTTCCACACCGTTGGGGGGTAATGACCTTCTATAGATTTTTGGTAACATATGGGCCTATTTACTTCCTCTTTAGGTTTTCTGTTATTATTGTTTTCTTCTCTTTCTTCTTTTTATACAATTTCAATAAAAGAGAGGAAGCTGATATTGGGAGCCAGAAGAATGAATGATCTTTGATTGTGACCTGCATGGAAAATCTGCTATACTGCTGGACTGTCCTGGCAATGAATTTTTATGCTACAAATTCATCAGTGCAAATCTTAATTGTTGGAGTGTTATCATGCTATAACCCATAGAGTAATGGTTGTCATAGCTTGGTTGTTCTAAATGAGCTGAATCATTTGAGAACTCTTTATTTTTGGTGTCTGGTCTGAACTTGAATGTTGACCCATTTATATGAAATGTTTTGACCTTTTTTGGAGGCGATCTGAGAATAGGGGTAGGGATTTGGTTCAGTTAACCAATAATAAATGCTTTTCTATAACCAAACCGTTTTATTATTTGTTATAAGTTCCAATTAACTGAGATTTTCTGGTTTGGATTGTAATCAACCAAAATTGCTGTATTTTAATTCATTACAATTCAGTTAATTTGGTTTAATTTTGTCGTTTCAGTTAAATTTGATTAACCAAAATTACCAAAATTTTTGCCTCAGAATATCGAACCAAATTATGCTCACCGTTAGAAGTCTGTTTTAGCCTCAGATTGTTTACATAGGCTATTGTTACATCTTGGTGAGGAGAAAATTTTCATTAACAGCTGCATATTTGACTTGCTATAAGTGAACTGAAATTGCTCACTTATTGAGTTTAGTTGAAACAAGGAATTTCTTATCGTTGTTGCCATGTTCCAAGAACTAGTCTTGCTTCTCAACTAATTACCCTCTTAAATAAAATAAAGAAAATAGCTCATCAAATGTCAAGATTTTTTTTTTTTTTTTTAATTATCTCACTAGGGCTAAGTTGCCGTCTTCCCTTGTATTCTCTGATTCTATCTTAATTTAGATATTCTTTTAATGTGACTCAGAGTTTTGAAACTCTGCCTTGTCTTGTGATGCCGTTTTGTTGACTAGAATGAATATACTTGTTTTTATTCTGTGATTTTTTAAATGATTGATTGTCCTTTCATTTTAATGCAGAAACTTCATATTTTGATGGACCAAGATTACCTCTAAGCCGTTTGCTTACAGAGACCAAAATGAATTTCACAGGTGTGTATGGTATGCTTGTTTTTGCACAAAATCTTCACTTGCCTCCGTCTCCTGACCATACTAACTTATGTAGACTAGTACTGGTGTATGGAAAAACAACTTTTGCCTTAGGTTCAGAGACTAATAAAATCTTGGTACAAGGTACAAGTTTTCTGGAGCTGCTATTTTCTGTGTTTTCCAGGTAAAAAGTGCAATTGATGTCAAATTACCTCATTTAGTGAAATTTTGCATGCATCAAAAAAAATGATTGCAATGGTTTCTCAATTGCTTGAGTTGTGTTCTCTTGATCCTAGAGTGTATATTCATTGATTTTCGAGCTACAACTACATTTTAACAGCTATTTTTTTCATCCAGCAATGCTGGAACAGTGGAACTGTGATTACAGATTAAAGTTGTAATGCATCAAAGTTTATTCATGTTTGATTATGCATAAATAAATAGAAGTTTGGAGTTCCTTTTCCTTACAAAACCATCAGGTATGATAATCAGGTGCTCTTAATTTGGGCCTATGATTAACCTGGGCCAATTTGGTATCGGCCCATTACTAGCGGCATTTATTAGGGCCTAGTAATGAGTTGAGATTGCGAAAATCAGCAGACTGGGCCGTTAGAAAAAAAATAAAAATTGGCTTGGGTTTTTTTGGTCCACTTGACTTTTTTTTTTTTCAAAAAATAACCCTAATAATTTTCTATATTAGGCTGCGAATTTATTGTTTTACAGTTCTTATTATAAAATAGAAACTCCTGGTTGGAGAAGGGTTTTTGAACTCATAACAGTTTGGACTACAAAACCATTAAAGCAATCTCAAGTTCACTATTTTCTTATTGTCAATATTTTCTGTTCTTTTTTCTTTTTTCAAAAATGATAATATGATATAATCACAATATCATATTATATCATATAAAATTATAAATTTATAATCATAGCATATTATTTTAAAATTAATTTTTTTATTTAATACTGATTTAAATATTTAATAATATATTATAATTATAAATTTATAATTTTACATGATATTATAATTATATTATTGTAATTTTTTTTTTCCCTTCTTTCAAGATTTCTATCATAGTGCTTTATACTGTGCCAACACTATTAAACAAATGTCAAACATATTCAGTTTCAGTAGAGCAACTGAAGTTTGATTGGAAAACAGTGATTCATCATCCTAATACTTTTCTTCAATTATAGGGCGATCCAACTGTAGAGGGTAGAATCTAGTTACTACCATATAGAGACATGTTCCCCAAGTTAGGGGAGTGTTTCTTGGTAAACCCCACTTTCGTGGGTTTCTTGGTAAAACCCCACTTTCGTTTCCCAGATTTACACCCCAAGTCAAAACATTTACTTCAAATTCCCTTAAACAATGTCGGAAGCAAAGCTATGGACAATTGCACGGCAAATGCCAGAGAAAACAAGTTGGATGAAAACTCGATGAGAAAAAAGGGGGTTCAAAATGTGCCCCCACCTATGCGTTCTTTTTTTTTTCTCTCATGTGCGTTATTTATTTATTTATTTTTTTTTTCCCAGCCGACATTTGTTTTTGTTTTTGCTTCAATGAATCTAAATGTGTATTTGATTTAACTTTTAAAACAATTTTCATGTTGTAGAATTCTCTTGAAGGTAAGCAAAACAAGGTGTTTTTTTAGAAATTTTTCTCCTTTTTTTTTTTCATTTATGTTTTTCTAGAGGGTTTGAGACCGAATTTGTATACATTGATAATGAAATTTCATAAGCACATTCTTCTTTCTTTTTTATGTATGGTACAAAGGCCGTACAAGTGTAAATTCTGTACATATTTAATAACTTAAACATGGTACACAAATTAAAAAGAAAAAAGGAAAAAAAAAAAACTTGAAGAAACCCCATGCCAACAAAAAAATCTGAAACTATAAATTTACAACTTCAAAGTTGTGAAAACTTTAACTTTAAATTCTTAATCAGTTGAACTAAAATTGCAATAGTTTCATACGTACCTTCTACTTATTTCCATGATACAAAATATTACTTTTTGATACCATATGGCAAATAATGCTTTTTAGGGTTTTTTTTATTACAATAAACTATATATATGGGAAATGTTTGGTAGACCATTCAGTTCAACACTCGATTCAATACCTTTTGGTTTAGTCATTAAAAATATAATATAAATACAGTCAATTCAGTCGGTTCCTATATCTTTTATACATGATTATATCATTATATTTGTCTATTTTTAATTTCAGACTAAAAAATAATGATTTTTTAATGACTAAACCAGAGGGTATTGAACTGAGTGTTGAAATATAGAATGTACCAATCATTGTCTTGTTACTCTTGTATATATATATACATGTACATGAGTGAAATGCCTTATTTACCACTACGTGTATAGATTCTATAAGGGTAAATAATGTGTTTCACTCATGTACATATATATATATTCAATTTACTGTAATCAAAAACCCTACAGAGCATTATTTGCTATACTTTTGGTATAACAAAAGTAATTAAGTTGCTTAGCAATTTACAAATGTTGCAAACAAAACATTTAGAAAAGTTTCAATAAAAAAATGCTTTTACAAAAGCTTGGATTGGGTCAAACTTGTTCCTTGGAGAGAAAGGATTCAAACATTCAAATCCTACCCATTTTTGTTCTTGTTTTTTCAAGAAGCATCATTATATTTTGGGGAACATCAAATAATTGCTTAATAGGGGTTGGTTGGTATGAAGATTCTTGGTGGAGAGGAAATTGATAAAGAGCAAGGACCCACCCACCACCCACTGAAAAGACCAAAACCCATAGAAAGAACCATGCCTACTGTTGCTTGACTTAACCACGTAGTAAAAGAAAGCAAACTTCCCTGTTTGCTGCCTACCCTGTCTTCTGGTGCTTGTTTGGTATGCAATGCAAAATTTTCCCCTTATGTTATCTCATTTTCCATGCACAGTCCCCCTGATGGAGGCTTCACCCTTTTGTGCATGTGAACTAGCTTCAATTCTGAGGGGTATTGAACCAGTTGGGGACACAAAACAGATTATTTCAGAAGTGAAAGTAGGATGTGTGTTGCCTCCTTATTTTTCTCCTTTCGTTTTGGATGTCTTTTCAGTCCCTTTTTTCATGCTTTCTCAACTTAGCTCTCTCAAGGCAATTCTTTATTCATGTTTTTATATTTGCCCATTTTTTGCTTTCTTTCTTTGTCCATCTATAGTTAATGTCAACATTAAAAAAAAAAAAAAAAGGAAAATCAATCAATTTGCAAAGAAAAATGACTGGTCAGGGATAGACACTTATATGAAATCTGACTACTTGTGAAAAAAGAATTATTAGCAAATTATGAATGATTCTATCTTGTAAAGTGAAAGTGCTGAAGAGAATCACACTGAAGTTGGCATTTTCAATTCATTTCTTCCCTTCACACTCATACATGGCAATAAGGTCACTCCGCAAAGGGTCGTCAGTTTAGGGCCAAGATTGACCTGTCCTAGGTTGAGCCTCAATTAGGTTGGTCCTAGGAGGTTGTCTACTTGGTTGAATTTGAAAATAATATAACTATATAATGTCATGTAGTATGGTAAATTTATAATTATAATATATTATTATTTGATTGACTTTTTTTTTTTATCAAGATCCATTTATAATATCATATATATCTACTTTATTAATAATATGTCTAGATTGTAAATTTATAATACTAAGTAACATTGTTGGGTTGAATTAATTGCACACAAATTTTAATAAGTTTTCTCATCTTTCTACTAATAACTTAAATAATTCAACAATAATATTTTTTCAATAAAAATAAAAAACTTTAAATTTAAATTACATAATATACGATTGAACTGTCTTAAGGGAGATGAGATGATTATTCTCATCCTGCAATCCAAAATAAAATAAAATAAAAAAGTTTTCCCACCTTCTTAGGAGATAAAAATTGGAAAATGACAAGTATAAAACTTTTAGAGGCTCTTTTTTTTCTTTTTTCAATATGATGGAACTACTTTTAGAGCTTTAGGTACAACTTTTAATTACAATTTTACATGTCAATTAACCATTAACTTTTTTTCATTTACCAAAACTTATAATATTAAATTTATTTATTTATTTAAATAACATGTAAATGGTAAAAAAGAAAAAAAATTATAGATAAAGGTTCTTCCTAAATAATGACTCATAAAATCTTTCTTCCAACTTCTCATTGGGACCCACTTGGTATTTTTTCTATAAATGTTAAACTATAACTTCTTTTCTAATATGAAAAAATTACTCTCTACCATAAAATAACTATTATCTTTTAACTTTTTAGATGTTTATTTATATTACCCTTAAAAAAGAAATAAAAGATAAATAAAAATTTTTTGTGATATGATAATTGATTAGAGTAAATAAATAATGATAAGATTAAAATAAAAAAATATTTATCTACCTCAAGAAATAAAAAATAATAATTAATTTAAGACATTTAAAATGAAAAGACAATAATTAAAAGTTATTCAGTATAATATTTTGAATCTAACCATTAGTAGTTTTATCTAATTTAATGAATAAAAGTATTTGAATTATTAATAATAATAATTATCAACCATTATATTATCTAATTTAATAAATAAAAATATTTGAATTATTAATAATAATTATTATCAATCATCATATTAGAAGAAATTGGTAATAGTTACTTATTCAAAGTAAACGACAGTTACTACTCTTTCACTA